GGATCCAATTCATCATTGTGATTTCCAAGCCTCCCTTTAGATAAAACAGACATAAAACATGTGCTTTACAATCCTCAGATGACCTTCAAGTCATCCAAGTACAATATCTATGGATTTTCAAGTGTAATTAACAACTCTTGTTTTTCCCTTTAAAAAGTTCCAGTCTGTTTTCTTGACAGGTAAAAGCCAATCAATCTTGTTTCCAAAGTCTAATACAAGCAATTGAAAATAACCTTAAATTAAGGGGTTTTTGGTGGGAGCTTTAGTGGTGTAGTGCCTAAGGCATTTGACTGCTAACCAGAAGGTTGGTGATTCAAACTTATCAGGTACTCCTCAGAAGAAAGATTGAGCAATCTACTTCCACAGAGATACCACCTCGGAAACCCAAGGAGAGGTCACTATGAGTTGGATCTGACTTGACAGCAGTTTGTTTGTTTTTGTTTTTGGCTTTTAGGTTTTTGGTTGGTGTCCTGGTTCTCTGGTGCTGCTATAAGAGAAAAAATTCAAATGGACGGCAAAACAAACTGAAATTTATTCTCTTACAGTTTAGGACAGGAGCTCTGGTAGCGTAGTGCCTAAGGCACTTGACTGCTAATCAGAAGGCTGGTGGTTCAAACCCACCAGCCAATCCCTGGAAGGAAGGTTTGACAATCTACTTCCATAGGGATACCACCTCAGAAACCCAAGGAGGAGTCTCTATGAGTTGGGTCCAACTCAACAGTAAATAACAACAACAACAACAGTTTAGGAGGCTAGAAATCCAAGTTCATAGTGCCAGGTCTAGGGGCTGGGTGAAAGCCCCTCAACCTTAAGCTTCAGTTCTGCCTCTTGTACCAGGCCCAGTGGAGCTAGAGGCATATCTTAACTCAGACAGCTGCTGGCAGCTGAGGCTGATGAACCCAAGGTCAGCAGGTACAGTGGCACAATTACAAGATCAGCAGGCAACACGGAAGGCCACTGATTCAAGTCCAGGAACTGGTGATGAAGACTTGGCCAAATGTAGAATCCAGATGTGCCAAAAAGCTACAGACCTTCCTAAAAGTTTCTCCATACATACTGGAGTCAGGCTACCCTGAAGGCAACTAATTAGCCACTCACAGCAGACTCCACCATGGAGCTGATTTTACTATCATTATAGAGAGTAACTGCACCTGGCCGCCAAGCTGCTCAAAGTCACAACCCAGCCAGGTTGACACATAACCTTGACTAACACAGTTGGTGAGATTTATTGATCTATCATCTATCTGTTATCTATCTATCTATCTATCTATCTACCTCCTTCTATCTATCATCTCTCTATTTATTTAGCTTCAACTTAACCTCATGGCAATACTAATTTACAGGACTAATTAGGGACCCACTCATTGTGTAATACATCTCTCAAAAGAAAAGCTGGCCTTTAAAACCCAGCAAAGAACCGCAGAGGCCACTGTACAGAGAAGAAGTGTGGGCGCCAGCAGCTAAAATGTTCATTTCACCTGGTAGACAAAACGTGGCAGATCCTTTTATTTACGACGCGAATATTAATTTTCAGGTTTTGGAAACGAAAATATAGTGCTCATTTGTATTGTTGTAAAACTTGTAAATATGCCCTGAAGGAGAAGTAATATTCAAAGCAACATCCTAATTAAAAGGAAAACTCAGTTGTCTCACAAGATAATATAAGAGGACACATAAATTGTAAATAAGATAAATGGTGAAAATGAAAAAGACAGGCTGGATAGGAGAGGAATGAAATAAGATTTGGAAATGTGCTTTTTAAATGAACACAAATTGTGAGATAATGTCTCATTGAACAATAAAAAATAACAAACCAGTGGCAAAGAGGTAATAGAATTTCCTATGTAGACCATTTTAATCTTAATATCATTTTCCCCACTGCATCTACATTTATTGAACTACTACAGGCATTTCTTTTTCACTCTGTCCAAAATTACTGAGAGTGTGTTCTTTGCTGTAAAAAATTCCCTCATTATAAACATAAAAATGATCCAGAAATTGACCACAGCTTTGGAAAAAAGATGTAGTGTCTTCTCAGGACCACAAACCCTCTGAGGATGACAAAGTATGTGTAGTTTTCTCAGGGAAGCGGAGAGAGAATATAGCAAATCATCTTCCCATTTAGTCCTGCATGAGACACTCCATGCTTTTGCTTCTTTTTCTTCTATTAAAAGTATGTATACAATGCTTCCATGGCACTCCAACCTAGGATGTGCTGGACAGGGAATAGGGCAGAAAGCCAAGGAAGTGCCGGATCTGATGGCGTAGTGCCTAAGACATTTGACTGCTAACCAGAAGGCTGACGGTTCAAACCCACCAGCTACTCCTTGGAAGGAAGACTGGGCAATCTACTTCTTGTAGAGATACTGCCTCCGAAACCCAAGAAGGGGTCACTATGAGTCGGAACTGACTCCACGGTAATGAGTTTGGTTTTTAATGTGACTGGAGGAATATGCACTTTCTTGTGGCTTCAGTTTCCCAGTCTGTCAAATGGGGATGATAAGTGCTATCTCTTGTTTTCAACATTGATGAAAAAATAGGTGTTTCATAAATACCATTTGACTATAACCGGAGTACTGGTGGGATAGTGCCTAAGGCATTTGACTGCTAACCGGAAGGCTGGAGGTTCAAATCCACCAGCCACTCCTTGGTAGGAAGATGGGGCGATCTCCTTCCGTAGAGATACTGCCTCAGAAACCCAAGGAGGGGTCGCTATGAGTCGGATCTGACTCAAAGGCAGTGAGGTTTTTTTGGGGGGGGATGGTGGGGGGATGGATGTAACAGGCCTGACTCCATGTATGTGGAAGGTTTGATGGAGAGGAGATAGAGTCCAGGGGAAGCCCTTCATCTGCACTGACCTCTAATGAGGATGCTCATTAAGGCTTCCAACTCCAAACAAACAAACAAAAAACAAAGCAGTGGCTCTCAAATCAATTATGATTCACAGTGACCCCATGCATTTTGGAGCAGAACTGTGCTCCCTAAGGTTTTCAATGGCTGTGACCATACAGAAGTGCCAAGACTTTCTCATGAGGAAATTCTGGGTGAATTTAAACCACCAACCTTTCCATATACGACTCAAATATTTCAACAACCACTGTAATGGATTCCCCCTTTTTCTTACATGCCCATTGATCATCCAATTCATGTACAGTATTTGTTTGATGTAGTATTAATATCTGTGGGGATCTTAAATTTTAAAACTACACAAAGGCAGGGACCTTGTCCCACTGATTACTTTTAATGTGCTGTTACTTTGGAATAGGAAACAAGTATTTGCTGAACATCCGCTCTCTAATACTTTCTGTCAATTAAAGTCTAGTTTATTTTGTAATTTTTGAAAAGTCATCAGCCAGGACAAAGATGTACTTGTTCTGGCATAGAAGAAATATGTGCCAAATATACCAACAAGTCCATTGTATTAAACAGGTTATCAATAAATTCCCTTGCTGAATAAACTGTGTAAATCTAATAATGTGATCAAATTTTAACTTTATTTTTTATGTTAGATTAAATAGCAGAAATATTATGGCGTATTCAACAGTAGATCTACTAAACAAATAATAAAGTAACCAGAATAAACAAGCTCATAAACAAGTATAGTTATCAGCCTATGGTTACAGTTACAAATCACGAGCATATTATCTTTATAAAGTTTGCGTTATTTTCTCTCGAAAAAAATCTAATTATTTTAAATTGAAGTTTCCAAGTCTATTTGATTTCTTAATATAAAAACCAATTTCAGTGGTTTTCTGTTCTATTATTTTTAAAGCCTCATTGATCCAAATACAAATAGATTAAAGACCATCATTAAACATTTCCCCCAGCATTACATATTCAGATCATAATTACAGATCAGCTGGTAAGAACTGTTGATTACAAAGGCAACTTGAGGTTGTGTGGTGAATCCAAAAACAAATGTTCTTTACAAGAACAGAGGCCCTTCTCCTGGGGACGTTTCCAGGCCCCTTTCTACAGATTTCCTTCAAGGCCATTGTTTCGGATGATCTTGGCATACTCCTTGGCTGAGGTGTAAGGGACTCGTGGTCTAGCTGGATCTTCAAAGTCAATGTGGAAGAGACCAAACCGGCTGCTATAGCCCTGGTTCCACTCGAAGTTATCCAGAAGCGACCACATGCAATACAGTTTCAGATTGACTTTGTCGAGTTGGATAGCTGAAATTTTAAAAGAAGAAAAAGTAAAGTTTTATAAGAACATAGTCAAAATCATTGATTACCTGTCTAATAGCCTTTTTTCTGCTCGGCTGAGAATGACAATGGGGACGGAAAAACAAATAAACAAATAAAATCCCTCTTGCAATCCTCTTTTCCCATTTTCTCCTTGAACAAAACAAGGGCTTCATTCAAGAAGTTACATAGCATGTTTTTCTGATTATTTGGTCATTCATTCATTTTAATGTTCTTGTATTCATTTTAGGAGTTCTGGTTGCACAGTGCCTAAGGCATTTGAGTGCTAACCAGAAAATTGGTGGTTCAACACCCCCAGCCACTCCTCAGAAGGAAGATTGAGCAATCTACTTCCATAGAGATGTTGTTGTTGTGTTGTTATAGCATCTCAGAAACCCAAGGAGGGGTTGCTATGAGTTGAATCGACTCAATGGCAATGAGTTTGGTATTTTTTGGTTTTTATTCACGTACTCCTGTACTTTTCAACACCCACCACTTTCAGACACAGAGAAACACACACACACACACATACACACAGAGTTCCTCTGTGCTGCCTACAAGGATATGCAGTAATGACACTGTCCAGTGCCAAGCATGGCTTCCAGGTAACCCAGAAATCCCATTAGGGGACAATAGCATGTCCAAAGAATCTACCACACTTACTTCCTATCCTCATTATCAATCTATGATATGTCTTACAATTCTGGGGGATTCAAAAAAAAAAAAAAAAAGTGTGCCTCTGGTGACATAGTGCCTAAGGCATTTGACTGCTAACCAAAAGGTTTGTGGTTTAAACCCACTAGCCACTCCTCAGAAGGAAAATGGGGCTATCTACTTCCATAAAGATACCATCTCGGAAACCCAAGGAGAGGTCTCTATAAGTTGGATCCAACTTGATGACAGTGAGTTTTTATATTTTTTTTAGTCATAGTAGAACTATGTTCTCCACAGGGTTTTCAAAGGCTGACTTTCCCAAAGTAGATCACCAGGACTTTCTGCTGAGGGACCTCTTGGTAGACTTGAATGCCCAAACTTTCAGTTAGCAGTTGAGCACATTATTAACCATTTCTACCACCCAGAGACTCCATCCTGGAAATAGAGCCCCCAAAAGTAAAGGGTCAGCCCCAGCTCTAGTTCTGTCTCTGTCCTGGACTGTATATGCACAACAACGTGATGGCTTCCCTCTGCTCCATAGCTCACAGTAATGCTTCACCCCTTTAAGAATCAAAACAATGACTTATCTTCCTCCAAAATGCACATCTGCCCAAATACACTATTAAATATGATGTCAGGATTTTGTAGATGTCCCAAGCATAGGGCCCATATTAGGAAGCCCCGATGTGGAAAACTCTCTAAGTAGTTTCACACTAATTCTCATCCCTTTGTTCTGGGAGTTGAGCTCACTTTGCATTAATATGCTTAAGTTTGGAAAAGCTCTGAAGTTGAATAAGTCTTTGCATTGAAAATTTTCTTTTGAAAACCAGAATATGTGAATCCAATCTGTGAATGCACTAACATTAGTGTCTCACTGAATACCTGCTGCCCTTGAATTGGTTCTGACTCATAGTGACCCTATAGGACAGGGTAGAACTGCCTCAGTATTTCCAAGGCTTCAAATCTTCACAGAAGCAGACTGTCACATCCTTCTCCTGCAAAGCAGCTGGTGGTTTCCAACCACCAATTTTTTGGGTAGCAGCCGAATGTCTTAACCACTGCATCACACAAACTCCATGTCTCAGTGCAAAAATTAAGCAGAAAGGCAGGTTTTCTTAACAAGATATATATATTCCTAAATAAGTTGGGTGAAATGAACATTTATATAATAAAGCAGATTTTAATTGTACTAAGATTATTTTCAACTAAAACAAATCTTCCAGTTAATCATTCAGCAAAGCAAAATACCCCTCATAATTTTCTTGGGTATAAATCTGTATTTTCCAGGTCTCTTAAAGGTTCTACACCCATATAGTATTACATACGAACATTTGTTAAGTGTCCAAATCTTCTTAGATTTGTTTGTTTGGACTGTGGATATTCCGTAGACAAAAGGTTGCTGACAGGTTAATTGATGCATAACCCTTCTGCATTTGTGCACGAAGGCGTGCAAAGTGCTTTGTCTAGAAATTGCCTTATGAATAGCCTCAAGGCAGGAATTAAGCCAGCTGGATTGGCTCTTTTTAAATGAAGTATTGGAAAACAGACAATATAACATTCAAGCATATTCAGGTTTGCAGGAATAAAAATGTTTACTATATATTCCTTCTTTTCCTACCTCTCTCTCTTTCCCACAATCACTTCCTCTCTCTGTCAACTCTGAAAAATACCAATTTTTAAAAGTCTTTTCTTTTTTTATATATTATTTCTTACAAAACCCTAGTACTGGATAGCATATCTCAAAGAATCCATCAAAGCCATATATCAGACCAGAAAACAACAGCCTCTTTTCACTACCTTGTAACGCAATCCGGGGACATGTGAGAATCTGCATGTTCTCCTCTTTTGCAGAACGATTGCCTAACAGGAAAGTCTGACAGGTACAAAGCCAGACGGTGTGTGAAAGCACAGACAGTCCCACTGATCATGTACAAAAGGATTGATTCATGGGCTCAGCCAAGGGATGAGAATGATGCCCTGCCTGCTAGCAAGGGAACAAAAAGGAAATCTTGACAATTTCGTTGTTAACTGCCAGCAGTTCCACAGCAGGCACTAAACTGCCCAGGTGACATGGTGGATGTCTCTGCATTTCCCTCGCTTGAACATTTAGGGAGAGAATTGCCTAGTTAGCGCTGAGGCACTAGGCTGCTGAATCTTCACACTGCGCCACCACTGGGAAAAATTACACAAGGACTCTGGAACCTGTACCTCTCTCATCTTCCAATCTCTTCAAGAACAGAAAGAGACTATCATCACATTTCTTGTCGCCATGATTTGTGACGTCCCAGAATCTTGGTAGAGGAAAACTGCTTCTGTGAGTTTACTTTCTTCCTTCAGCCAGAGTTGGAGGCAAAGTAAACACAAACGGGAAACACGGACAGGTACAGAGCCCACTGGGGTATAAATGACACCCTTCACCGAGGTGGAGTTTGGTTTTGAAGTACAAGGTCTTGTGAAGCATCTCACAGTCAGCAGGTTGGATATAAAGATGCAAGCAACACAGTATCCAAGCCTCACTAATATGCCAGAGCATACATTTAAGCAGACAGCTGCTGTTATAGAGCAAAATGGCAGAGTCTGGCTAAAACTGAAAGTAAAGAGGTTTGACTGAGGAGTACTGGGTATTGAGGGGTAGGCAATTTGTGAATTGGGACTCGCAAAGGCCAGAGGATTCTGAACTAAGTGAGCCAAGGAGGAGAGAGTTGAGAGAGTTTACATAAGAAAATACGAGGAAATTCAGTGATTGGTTGACATACAGGTAATGGTTACAGAATTGGGGGATGGTACAGCAGATCGGTGGGAGATTTCAGGTTTCTAAAGTTCTTTTTGAAAGTTACAGAGTAATCATTAAGTTAGGTACATCTGGCCTCAAAACAAACCTTGTGTGACTGCAGGGACATGCATACTTCTAAAGTTTGTTTTGAGCAAACATCTGTTCAGAATTGTTTTGGACTGGGCTTCCTAAGCAGCAAACAAAACTTTTAAGTAAATAAAATTTACATTGTTTTCTGAAAGTGTTTACCAAGTAATTTTCTCAGGGTACAGTGAGGAGATATAGGAATGATGGGCTACATTCCTGATGTAGAGGTTACTTTCGATTCAAAATGAAGCTTTAGCCTCAGACCTTAGCAGGGCCACCATCTCATGTCAGAGTCCTAAGTTAATTTGGGGTGCTCTTACTTACTACTAACCAAAAGTTGGTGTAGTAGTTAAGATTGTGCATCAACTTGGCTGGGCCATGGTTTTGAGTGGCTTGGCATCTGCGTGTAGTGATTCCCCATAATGAGATTGTAATCACCTCCATGGTGGAATCTGCTGTGAGCAGCTAAGTATCTGCCTTTGGGTGGTGGCCTGCTTCTGGTACATAGGGAGGGGCTTTGAGAGAGGTCTCTAGCTTTTTGGCACATTTGGAACCTACATTTGGCCAAGTCTTCATCTCCAGCTCCTGAACTTGAACCAGTAGCCTGTTGCATTGCCTACTGATCTTGGGATTGTGCCATTTTACCTGCTTCCTAACTCGTTAGCCTGAGTTAGGAGATGCCGCCAGCTCCAGTGGGCCTAGAACAAGAGTCAGAGCTGAAGCCCAGGGTTGAGGGGCCTTCACCTAGCTCCTCAAGCTAGCACTCTGAATTTGGACTTCTAGCCTCCTAGACCATAAGAGAATAAACCTCTGTTTGTTAAAAACATCCACTTGTGGTATTTCTGTTATAGCACCACTAGAGAACCAAGACAGTTGGTGACTCAAACTCAGCCAGAGGTGCTTGAAGAAAGGCCTGACAATGTGCTTCAAGAACATCACAGCCGTGAAAATCCTGGGAGCACAGGTCTCCACTGAAACACTAGAAGCAAAAACACATAGGTCACCAAGAGTTGGAATCAAGTCAAAGGCAAATAACAGTTCTAATTATAACCTCCTGCCACACACACACACCAACACACGTACACCACTTTATTTGTTGTGGTTGCTGTTAGCTGCTGTTGAGTCACCCTTGACTTGCGGCAGCCCTTGAACAATAGAACGAAACTGAGCCATCTTGCAGACCAAACCACTGTGATCCACTGGGTGATCTTCATCAGTAGATTGCCAGACGTTTCTTCCCAGTCTGTCCTAATGCGGAAGCTTAACTGAAATCTGCCCAGCTTCACAGCAACTACACAGACCACCGCTAACAACAGATGGTGGCTGCCCGTAAGGTGCACTGGCCAGGAATCAAACCTGGGTCCCTTGCACAGAAGTTGAGAATTCTCTCTCTGAATTACCGGTACACTCATAGGCCTGTTTTAGAAGCTCCTATTTCAAGGTTGGGTAACCTACTTCTATAGTGATAACACTT